TGGGGTAGGGGGAGGGGTTTGTGAGGGGAGAAGGGTGCAACAATGAATGAATGGAATTCCAAAATCTCTGTAGATGTTCATTGAAATGAAAAATAAACAAACTAAATTAATTAAAAAAAAAAAAAGCCAAGTCTGAGTCTAGGTCTGAAAGAGCCTGCATTTTAAAAAATTCTCATAGTTCTCTCAAATAGAATATAGGAACAAAGACCTAGATCTCTAGCATCAAACAAGGGGGCACAGGGTAAATATAAACAACACAAGTCTTCCAATTGTGGAATCTGCCTTGGACAAATGAGTTATAACTATTAATTAATTCCTTAGTTGTAAAAGAGGAAGAAAATAATGAAGAATTTGCAAAATAGCACACTCCTTGGATCACATTAGATAGTGATAACTACTTGCCTACCCCCTTAATCAACTGTCTCAGCAAAACCTAAAGTGTACATGACAAATTACATATATACAGCAACTGATAGAGAGATACATGATTCAAGACCAAATTGATAAAAACAATTTTTAAAATAAATACCTGCAGATACCAGAAGACCTCCAGAAGGAAAAAGCAGGACACTCTCAACTGGTTGTCCATGTTCAACAGAGAGAACACTCTTATTTGTTCGTGTATCAAACATCTTCACGGTATGATCATATGACCCTAGAACATTAATGGTTACATGATATGCATTTCACTATTTTAAAAATATATATATTTTCCTTCCAAGCATGAATTTTAAAAGGAGAAAAATCTTAAATGACATTTTAAACACATATGTATTTAAGAACACATAGCGTTGTTAAACTCTCTGCAACACTAATTATTTCTGAAACACCCTACAACTAAACTACATAGATTCTAACAAGTGCTGATCTTAAACTACTGCCCCCTACTGGACGGCCTGAGATTCCTTGCACAGGCAATTCAAGAAAAAACTGCATGTCTTTTGTTCTTGGTTGCTGTATAACTATGTAGAAACCAGGGTAGTAAAACAATTGTAATTCTGACATCAAGAAAGTCTGCTATTTTCAAACAAATCTAGTTGAAGTGTATCATAGTAAAATTATCTATGTCAAGAAAATATAGAAAAATGAATTCACTCACCTGTTACAAAGAGATCTGGGTTTAGTTTGCTCGCACAGCCACACCTCACATAATCAGAATGTTCTTTAAACATTAGGATTTCTTTGGCATTTGGAATATCCCACAGCTTCACAGTATAATCATCAGCCCCAGAAATCACATGGTATTTGTCAGCTGTAAAATCTACTGTATGGACTGCTCTGAAAGATCAAAGATTGATATATAAAATATTCAGCCAAGTATTTCTGGCACTTCCTATATAGACAAAACAGTTTTCACAGGAAATTTTTAAAAATCATCTCAGTTTCAAGGAGTAGTTACAGGTAGAAATAAAACAACAAAACTTTTAAAGAGGTGTTTAAATTATTTAAACAACTTAAAAACTTCAAATTCCTGCACTTTTAAATTACTAATAGTAAACAATGGCCTTAAAAATATCTTTTTTCTAATATTTAGCAATTTCACTTAGCTGCATAATGAAAATCCATGCTCTAAATGCTAGAGCTAAGGTACTTTATTGTTTAAAATTTCAAAATGTGTAGGGGTTTTTTTAAAAAAAAAATTAAGTTCTAAAAAGTCAAGTCACCAAGTCATGTTAAGTGAATTTTTATTTTATTTTAAATATTTCACTGATGAGATAAAAGTACTCTAAATTTATTTTTAAAAAAAATCATTTAGTTGAGACTAAGCAAATTTCAATAAAGGCTGGTAATTCGGACAACAAAATTTAAAATTACTCTGGTTAATTAAAGACAAAATATTACAAACACAAGAAGAAAAGAAATTCTACCTTCCAATTTGGTTTCAGAAACAGAACTTTCAAATTAGTCTAAGCCTATACAGTTCTCGTGATGTTGCCTTAAGATCAATTTTCATAATCTCAATTGAATCAGAATTAATGTGTTCATGAAAGCTTCCCTAGGTAGGTAGGCTAACACTTTCTAAAAAGCTACATACTATTTTAGGGAATTCATGAGCTCCAGGAAAATTGACTGTAGCACCCCCAAAACCCCATTTTAGAAGAACCAGAAAAACAAATAGCTATGTAGCTTCACAGAATTGTTCTATGATTTTATTCAGAGCACAGAGAAAGCTAAGCCTTAAAATAAAACATAAAAATCAATTGTTTCGTACTTTGTGTGACCTTCAAATTGTCTGAGGGGAGCCCTTCCACTTATATCAAAAAGTTGAACTCCACCATCTTCACTTCCAGCCACAAGCAGTTTACCATCCTGGCGAAAAGTAGCACAGTATGCTGTGTCCTTAAATCGGGAAAAGGTTTTTATTGGTTCCTGGGAGTACCGACCATAAATATGAATCTGGCACAAGATAAAAGATACAGTATTTATAAACAAAGTAATGCACAAACACTGCATAACATCGCTATCATAACATAAAAACACAGTATTGACCAGATGACTAGATTAGCAATAATCCTTAGATTAGTAGCAAATCGAATTTATATAAAAGAAAAAGAACTTCATAATGTCCTTACCCTTGAGGAAGCTGTGACAGCATAATTATAAGGAGGCTGTGGAGAAAAGTCTACTTTTGACACTGCACCAAACTCCTTAATCTGAACAGGGGTCTTAATGAAAGAGAAAAGCATGATATTATCAGAACTTAAAAGGCAAAACAAATGTAAACATGCCATAATCTCCTAAAGATCATTTCTGTTTGTACTTTATAATAGTAAGAAGTTGTATTTAATATGGAAGAATGAAGAAAAGTAAAAGGTCCATAAATCCAATAACTCAGCCTATCTTTATTGCCATTAAAGCAAACAGAAAGTTACATCCCACTCTTTTATTTCCCTTGTTAAGGTTTTTGTAATTCCTTTCAAAGGAAAAAAATAATGCCTCTGCCAGAATATCTACATATCTCTCCATACATTCTTTACCTGACACAAAGGTCATACTACACAGGCCATTCTGCATCTTACTTTTTAGCACTTATAAGTTACAAATCATATGAGCAATAGATTTCTCATTCATTTCAAGGTTTTGTGATAATATACAAAGTTTTCATAGCATTACAAACACTTCAAATGACATTTTCATTTATCCATCTCAGCATATTTGGGGAAGTATTTTAAACAATTTCTAAGCTGAGACTACAGGATCAAAGAGAGTATGTTTTGTTTTTAAATAATAAAAAATATTACCCAATTGTTCTTCAGCAAGCTTATAGCTATTTCCCTCCTTATAAGTAAACAGAAGGTAAAAACCCTACTTGTATGAAATTCAAACTGTAAAATTTGCTATTAATCATCTACTTTCTACGAGGCACTTCTTTAATACTTACCTTATAGTTGTTCCAATACAGGGTATCTTGGGTGATTTTTTCACCAAGTACAGGATAAGTCTGAATAACTACAGGCTTATAACCAGCCATGATGTCTTATAATTGCACTACTGTCCAAGGATCAGCAGTTTGGAGTAGAATTGGAAATAATCAGAGAAATTCTGTCTTAACCCTGAAAAAACAATCACAGACATATGTGTGTATATATATATGGTAACCATACCCAAATAATAATGTGTGTAATTTTCACTTTAATAAAAGGCTGTGTGACAACTTTTAGATTAGTGACCACTAAGCTATCTAATAGCAACCCATAAGAGATAATCTAAAAGAAACAGGAAGAATATAGATCAGGACTGCCATACTAGTCTGTTCATCTGCACCCAGAGGCTGTAGACAAATTTTCTCACATCTGACCAACCAGTTCGTAACAGTTAACTAATCTGGTTGATCTTCTGGTTGTCAAAACAGAGAGAAGCACATTGTCACAGAGCTTCCCTTTAAGCAAAAAAAAAAATTCCCCCACAATTGCACATAATTGCAGTTATAAAATTATGTTGTTGTTATATGTGCCATCAAGTCGCTTGCGACTCATAGCGACCCTATGTACAACATCCCTGACCTCTGCTCTGTCCTGTGCCAATCGCACAGTCTCCGACACACCCATCCCAATTACCCCAGTCACTGAATCAATCCACCTCATAGGGGGCCTTCTGCGCTGTCCCTCAACCCTACCAAGCATGATGTCCCTCTCCAAGGACCAGTTCCTCCTTATAACATGCCCAAAGTATGTTAGACGGAGCCTTAGAATCCTTGCCTCCAAGGAGCAGCCCGGTTTGACCCTTTCCAGGATGAATCTGTTTGTTTTCCTAGCAGTCCATAGTACCCTCAATACTCTTCTCCAGCACCACAGCTCAAAGGCATCAATTCTCCTATCCTCCTTAGTCACTGTCCAACTCTATGATGCATAACATGTGATAGCAAAGACGATGGCCTATATCAGATGCACCTTATTCTCCAAAGAGACACCACTGCTCTTAAGTACTTTGGAGAGGTGCCTAACAGCAGACTTTCCCATGGCAATAC